TTGCAGTTTGTTTTCTTCTGGGTCCCCCACCCGCTCCCAGCCAACATGGCTTTTGAAACTTGCTGAGAGCTCAGTTAAAATTCCAGACAATTAACTTAGCAGGGAGTTCTCTGGGATCAATAAGTGTGTGTGCGCGCGCGTAACCCTTGCTGAATCAACAGAACGTGGCCAGAACACATTCCTCCTTTTTAAAAATAAAATCTCCTCGTTTTAAGACCTGCTTAGGCTAAAATCTGACGCTCTGTGAAGATTACGACACGCAGTAGCTGAACTGTCCTCTTCAAAGCTGCCTGCCTTATGAAAAGCATTTCTGTGTTTAATCTCCCTCAGCCGTCCCTTTAGGCTGGCAGCTGGAAACGCATCCCGCCCTGTGCAAGGGCTCAGCGCACTGCAGATGGTGAAATGTTTTCATTTTGATTCTTGTTTTCTTATAGATTTTTGAGGAGGAGATGTTGCATGTGAAACTCTGAAAAAAAGGGGAATTCATGTGAACTCCTGCTGTTTTAATCAGGAGTCTGAAAAACAAAATCCCATGGTCCTGGGACTTTCCTGTGGAGTTAATAAAAACCCTGAATCTTTCTTGAAGTGCATTTTCACTGAGAGATTGGGTACTTACTATAAGTGAGGGATTAGAGAAGTCTACGATTTAAGGGTTTTTGTTTTTTTTTTTTTAAGCGATAATGGCTTTAAGATTGAAAATGACTTATTTGAGATTCCGTTGCGTTCAGCTTCCTTCCTAGAGCAGGTAGCAGAAACCTCGGAATACTGCGCTTCTCAGGTCAAATTTCAGAAAAAAATGCGGTTTGCCCATTATCTGAATATGTCGCTGCCAGATATTAAAATGGTTAAGAAATGAGCTATGAAACAGAAGGATTTTGGAATGCAGTTCCTCGGTTTCAGGCATTTTCATGAAAGGTTGGAAAAACATGAAATAAATCTTTACCCGGGGATGGAGGTCAGAAAAAAATGCATTGCTGTTAATTTGTTGCGTCCACCAGCCTGTCATTGTGGCTACAGATGCTCCATGGGCCTGTTGGGTAGCGAGGCGGGGAAATGTTTACCATCGTCACCAGAGCAGAAGTCGTTTCTGAGCCTGGCGTGAGCGAGGATAAGCCGTTTTTTTCTTTTTAACATCAGTGTGTCGACCACAGCAGTGTCCAGAGCAAGGCCACGGAAGATGCTGCTGAATTGTAACAATCTCTGCCTTTTTTATTCGAAAAATCTGCTGAGATGCTAACTTAAGAAGTGATTGTCTTTGTACAGCAGCTGATGGTTGGATTGACGTACTTGCAGGAGGTAGTATGGACATAGCGGGATTGAATAGGCTGGTTTATAAACTGTAGCATCTTTATCCTGCACATGTTTTATTTGTTTATTTTCTCGGGTGAGTAAGTGCCGTGGAAGCCAGCGGAGCTACTCGTAGCAAGAAGTGATAGCTGCGCGTAGTGTTTGAAAGACTGGGTCCCCACTCGTTCTGACCGTTTCCACAAACTTCTCTTTTGTTGTGTACGCACGTAAGAATCCCTCATTTCTTCTCTTGAGGGAACGTTGAAAGAAGCTGGTTTGCATTATATCTGAAGGCCTGTTTAATCTTCTCAAGATTTAACTTCTATTCCTTGGCTTCCATGGAAACTCTAAATAAAAGAGGAATCTGAGCAAATGTAGCCGAAGTTTTGCTCTGTTAGCAAGCGAGCATCTTGAATCAGCTCCAAATATGCGCAGCAGAAAGTTCATAAATCTCAAAGTGTTAGTTCTGGTCTTAAATAAATAAATAAATAAATAAAATGCTCAAACTGCAGAAGAGGATCCATTATTAACACGGGCTATTTTGGAGGTGTGCAAATATGCACGTGCGCGCGCGAGTGTCCTGAAGTAAAACCCCATCGCTGTTACCCACTGTGTTTTTGTGCGCGTAGGAAAAGGCCAATAGTCATTCTAGTTAGGCTCCCGCAAATTAATTGGACATTGGTTATGGATCAGTGAACTTCAAAGCGGGTAACCCCCAAAGATCTGGCGCATTAACTCGCCGCTTCCGAAACTGACACTAACGTGGCAGTGAGTGCGGCTAAATCTTTCATTAACCTCCGTTTGACACGCGGGGATGGGAGCCTTCGGATGGGAAGAGCAGAAATTAAAGCTGTGCCTCGGAACTGCTCTGCAGGCCCAGGTTTGTAGCGCTCCAGCAAAACGGGCGTCCTTTAAAAATTCGGAAAATTGTCTCCCGTTTGTGAAACCGTCGCGCCACGGTTGTGTCTTTCGCCTGCGTAGGTCTCCCCTGCCATCCTTTTGCTTTGGGTTGGAGGGGGATCTGCCTTCCCCCTCTTCCCCCCCCCCAAAAAAACCCCTTGCATTTTCCAAGCTTTGAGGGACAGAGCCCACAGACATTGCTTTACTTCCATGGTGGAAATTGAGAAGCATATGTGGTGTTGTGTGTGTGAACAGCTCTGATTTCCTCTCTTCCGAAAAGCCGAGCTCATAGATTTTGTTTGGTTCTGCCCATTATTTTGCTTTTTGACCCCTATGTCTTGAAGTACCTCCACAAGCGCAGCCTGTTAAAAACAAAGCCTGGAGGAGGGTGATGAGGGGACACGTGGCAGTAAGTGAAGTCTCCAGTCACTGGACAGTGAGAACTGCTGTGATGGGAACTGAGAAAAGACAATTTGATAGGCACAGATGAAGAAACTTCTGAATGGAGGCTGGCTCCCTTGATTTACATCTTTTGTTTTGTTTTTTAAAGGAAGCTGGCTACGTGATCTAAGTTTTGGTTCCCACAGCACTGAGTTGACTAAGCCCATGGCTTTTCAGAAGTGCTGATGGTTCAAAAGAAAAGGACAGATATTGTGGTTCTCCTCTGGTGCTTGGGAGACATCACCAGGATGGTCTTTAGGCTTGTGCCGAAACAGTCTCTGTGGACGCACACGAGAGGACCTCTTATCCAAATGTACAGCCTGTGCTTTTTCATAGCGGGCTACTCTGCAGAGAGAAAGCAAGTAGAGAAACAGCTGAGGGAGATTTTAGCAGGAGGTGACAACTTGTAGTCTGAGACTTGTTTCAAACCTGGCTCAGTGAGAACTGTAACCCTGAGGAGAAATTATGGAACAGTTCAGGGAAGGTGTGAAGTCTCTCCATTGCTTTGGCAACATAAATGGCCCTGCCACCAGAAATGTCAGAAGTTGGGTCCGCATCAACAAAAAGATGAAATTTGGTTGGCAGGCCTAATTCTGAAGCCTGCTGCTTTGTTCACGGTTGAATCCTACGTTGCTTGCTTACTCCTGAAAGCTAGGGGGTGAAGGAATTGATGTTAATTGTACCAAACGGGTGGAAAACTGTAGATGCAAGATCACAAAAGCTAGTGCAGGTGCATTCTGAGTTTAGACAATTTAAGACATACGTTTCTGTCTCATCAACGCTTCCTTTAATTGAAGAAGCAGCCTGCGCTTCTTTGAATTAGGCTATTGGAACATCAAGAGAGGTTGGTTGCTGGGAAAAGCTGCTACTAAATGTTGTACCTGTATGCAAAGGCAGAAAGAAGAGAATTTTGTACCCAACAGAGGGAGTTGTGAGGCTGGTGGCATAGGGCCTGGGTGTTAACTAATGTCCTTTCCATGCCAGGGCAGACGACCAGGGTGTTGGGTTGTGAGGGGCAGTTAGAGAGTGGTGGTGGAAGTTATATCTGACCTTAGCAGCACAGTATTCAAGCACTGTCATTAATCAGAGTTTGAAACTTGGAGGTCTGGATCCAATGGACCTGTTTAGAGATACAGTAGAAGAAGCCAGCGGTGCTGTCTGCCATCTCAGCCTGTCTAGCATGGCATCTTTCTCTCTTGTCTCTTGTCCCATCGTCTTTTCTTTTGCCTCTTTATTCTCTTGCGGTGCCATGCTTCATAATCATTTTAGAAAATGTGACTGATACCCCAGTGGTATTTGCTTGGTAAGAGGTGTGTGCTGCAGGTGGCCTGTGAAATGTGTTTACGACTGTGTGGTTTTTAACATAGATGAAGTTTCAGTGGCTTGGGAGAAGGCTACCTGAGAAATCACCTCTTTTCCTATCTTCCGCAGCGGCTGGATTGTTAGAGGTCCTGATGGTAGCGCTTCCGCATAGCAAGCGGGGTGACGAGTGTGTTGCACGCTCTCTAGGTGTGCTGGCTCTCCTTTGGTTTTGCGTGGTCTGTGCAAATTGAGGGGCTGATGCCGTCTTTGCATCAGGGTCTTTGCATCCATTTAAAATCGTTTTAATACTAGGTAACAGTTCCTAAACTTTTTTCCCAGTTGTGACCCTGCATTTCAGCCAATAA